GGTTCGTGTTACTGCTTTGTTAAACTCATATAATCGTTGTTTCCTTAACAGATAATAAATAAAAATATTGCTCTACGTGGTGAACATTCGTTCTAAGAGCAGAAAAGCAATCCTATAGCTAGAGCACAAAATGGAATTATCATTTTTGTACACCAAATTTGTTTTCCGCGTCATATGTCATCTAAAATGTTTCACTTGACCATTGAACAATGTTTTCTTAAGATCTACGCATCCCGCATCTGTCCATCTCAGTTGATCTTTTGGTCACATTTTCAGTTTTCTCCAGCATGAGTTTCTTGTTTCGAGGGATCTACTTAATAGCTAACATTGTCGATACCGTTTATATCTTGTATTATGCCCCTATAAGTTATTGTAATGTTTCTTCCGTAATAATCACACTATTATCATTCATTTATGGCTTTTACTCGTTTCTGCTCATATCCCTTATTTCTCCCTCATTTTCAACGCATGCTTTTTTACACCTCACTGTGCGCTATGTGGCTTCAGGGTCATTTTGATATTTAAAGCCTTACTGCTGATTCGAGGTGTATACTGGAACCACGCAAAGTCTAATTCCTTCACTGCAAATACAACGTCAATTTTTAATTTCAGAATCATATTTGCATCGTGTCTGATGCGTATACATTCCACTGTCTTTGACTCTTCTGGTTGTTTTTTGCTGAAATTAGTCCAAGTCAACTTGCATCCGTTTCATCGGTTTTGGGTAAATTGTTTTATTTGTGAAATATGAATTGAATATAACCGAAATTTTTCTAACCCATTGCTTCAAGACTGTTTAAATATCTGCTGTATTGCTGTTAGCCTCTTTGAAACTCATTGCAAATAAAAAAATGTATGGAAAATGTTGTTTCATTGTCGTAATCTGAGCCTAGCATGGCTTCAACAACAGAGTAATCCAGATTTAGGATGTCTGACGGTTAGAAATGGTGTTTCAGTTTTAAATTAGGCAACGTTCACTGCTGTAGCGAAAGTCATATTCCTCTCCACAGGCAGGCTGACCTCGATGAGAAGTTTCTACGGTTTGTATTTTCCTCCAACGCATCTACGGCCAGTTCACGGTTCCCAAGCGACATCGGGAAAACGTAGATACTCCATATAAACTGGGTTTTTGTTTCTCCCAGTTTTCTTCCTGTCAACATGTGCTCTGAAGCTGCTGCGAAGAGCCTTAGCAACTTAGTACAGCTTTGATGAACATTCGTTTTGGATGTCGTAGGCATTATCATCCTGAAATGATATGCTGGGGTTATAAGATAATCTGCATGTTGCCAAGGAATAGAGACGGCTTCCAACTTCTCACGTAGCTTTGTCAATGGAATGGCGCGCGAGAGTGGGTTCATCGCGTCATGGTGCAACTGCCGAAATATATCCAAGATCAGTCTACCATCTTTCAGTGGAACAGAAGGCGACAACTGTCCCAGATAAAGAAATGGTGTTTCCTTTCGCACTCTGCCAGCTCAGATTTGTTGGCCTGATATGGAATACCATATTATAATATGGTCGTTGGAAACATTGCACTTAAATTACAGCACATTTTACAACAAAATAACCGACACACGAAAAGCACTACAATTACTATCGCACACCGGATTTCAAAGAGATTACTTCTTCAGCCATTTAACGTCTGAGCAGAACATTTCTGCAAGTTCATCTGTCAAGATGCTTCACAGAAACCATCTTGGCACTGGCTGTTTTTCGTCATGTAAGCCATCCTTCAATTTTATCAGTTTTAGTCATTTGCAATTAGTAGTTAACTCGATGGCTATAAGCAAGAACTAATTTTTTTAAACAAATCGGTGGTTTGCGAAAATGCCTTCCTTTGACGGCTTTGTCGCTTGTTAACGACGGTAACTCTAACAACATACTGTGTAACATTTTTCACTTCTCCAAAGCACCCTTACTAACTTAATTTACACTTTGGAAGAAGAAATGGTGAAAACTGGGGCATTTTAAGGTTTATCTAGTAAATAAGTTTTAGCTAACTGATAATTTCATTTAAATGACCACTTAAGCTTTGAGACAACAGAAAAAATTTTCTTTATTCGTTGTTTGCTGAAACCAATGATTCCAATTTCGCAACTCAGGGAAGTCCTCCAGATTTTTCTTCACGGAAGTCCTCGAAACGCTTGCAAGAACTTCTTTAGCCATGCTATGTTATTTATTTATATAAGGTCGTTTTTGCAGTGTGTATAAAGCATAGATCCGCATTTCTCTTTGTTTGTAATTGACTGGATTTCGTTAATGACCACTGCCTTTAGGCAGAGATAGATTTTCGTTGCTAAAACTTCGATTTTCCTTTCAAGTTGATTTTTGAGCAAATTGATTTTGCTTCGATACGATCGTTGCTTTCTCCGATTTATCAGCTTCACTTTGCAGCGATAAATTTTCCATTAACAGCGAATGTATGGCCGTCTATTAGCTTCGGGCGGACGTCGAATCGAAGGTTCACTTTTTTACTTAGATTAGCATTGTCACATCAAGAGTATATTGCACGTACAAGCGAAACTGACAGGCTTCATACAGTGAACTGTACATGAACCATCGTCGTAAATCTTTCACTGCTAGACGAAATGTTGTTTCGAAACAGTAAGAGTTGCAGTTCTGACTAACGTAAGAGTTACGTTCCTCAAACTTTTACGTAACACGAATTTTTAATAGGCCGGATTTAACTCACCGTGATGCTTACGGTGTTTACAGTTGTGTTTTAAAGGCTATTTCTGTTAGGGTTGGTTCACACGATGCTCACACAAATTAAATTTAAATATGCAATTATTGATGCAAACTAATGTATTGCCATATAAATAGTATAAGAAAATAGGAAAATAAAAAGCATTTGCTTTGAGCCATCGAACTTCCTCATGAAATTATGAAAGAAACGACTGGACAGTTGTTTTTTTCTTCTTTTTACAGACCAGTATTGTACTCTACCACAGCGCACGTAAGCGCTAAAAATTATTAAAGTGCATGAATACAAATACATGAAACCACTGTATTGGGGTGTAAAAAATCTCTGATGGCTTCTTTGCTGGAAACTGAAGTGCTGGAATATGAGAAAGGAGAATCTTGTCACGCTCAAATCCATGTACATTGAAACACGGTGGAGTTTGACAAATAGACAGCACCTTCATATTCAATAGTAAAAAAAGCGACGCTAGGGAAGGCACACCCATGCACTGCACTGGCAGTCTGCCTTGGACGGGTGAGTATGATAGCAGCGTTAAGTAAAACTTTTGTAATTCGAAATTTTCCACGCCCATCTCCATCTTCTTCAAAAAACAGCCTTTTCCATAACCCTTTCAGGATAATTTTCGTATGTGCGAATTTACATTATCGTTTAGGTTTGTCTGTACTTATGACCTGCAAACTTAGCGATTCTATCTCTCCGTTGTGATTTTCGCCTTTTCTATGCTTGCTTTACATTAGGGATTTAGTCCGTCATCCTCGGCGTCATAACTTTGCCACAATATCATGTCATGCAGCCCGCTGTTTCCTTACCGTGTAGTGATGCTCTGTGAACAAAGGATGACTCTAAGCTGTATTTAAACAAACTGTTTCGGAAGCAGTTTCTACAGCAGAAAAAAAAGTCGCGTGAAATGGTCGTTCGAACACTGATCAAAATTCAGGATTCCAAAATCTGTTTATTTTTAAATGTTCTCGCTATTAGATTCAGAGAAGCATTCACATAACAAACTTTAAAAGGGAGGCATAACTCGAGCGTCGTTACATGTGTTTAGTTCACTTTTCTGCTACACTGAACAAGGAATTCACAATCATGTAGTTTGGACAAGGTTTCGGAAAATAGACTGTCTGCCATTCTATAGCACATTTAAAGCCACCAACCCAAAGCAGATGCAAATAGTCGATGACCGAAGGACAGATGTGCACAGCGATTGAAACAATGCGCTAAAATCCTTATATTGTTAAAGCATGGTGTTCGCTTTTGAAATGTATAAGAAATGAATGTATGATTAGGAGGTCGTGAGTCACAAACTCAACTTCTAATGCATTTAAATGCGCCATCGGAAGTACTGGTGACACAATTTGACTATTTCGAATTATGAGAGCTAAGACCAATTAATCGCTGTGCTACTGGCAAAGTACCAAAGTGAAAATTTTCTTACAACGAAAGTTCTCTTTAGCGGGCAACTACTTTTGTCTCTCATACCTACAGTATAACCGGTTGTGCTGCTGTTAAAAGTAACGAATCGCATTGACCGTCAAGATCCCCTTGCGCTATCAGGTATGACGCTTCTGTATTAAATTCGAGAATTAAACCTATCAGCAATGGAATGTAATCGAAAAAAATTTTAAAAATAAATGCGATTGCTGGGCTTTTCATGAAAGAAATGAGATGACCTGTCCTGCTCCGTATCATTTCTCATACAGCTGCGTCGAAGAAACGCGGTGCGCAGGCACTGCATCTGGAGCGATTTAGTGCGCGCTCCCTCGGTAACCCCTTTTACGCCATACCGGTTA